GATCGGATATTGTTGAATCATTTGTATGATTAGATATGATCAAATGTGTATTGTCATTTGAATTTGAGCAGTCACTTAAATTATCATCATTCATACCGGCCGTACGATTTTTTGACGATTGATCAATAAGTATTTTTTGTTTTTTTCGATATTTTGCTCGACGATTTTTAAACCATACCTAAAATAGGAAAAAACAATCTTTAAAATAGTTCAATTTGACATAATCTTACTTGTACACGAGCTTCAGGTAAATTAGTAAAGAGAGCAAGTTTTTCTCTCATAACAATATCAGGATAATGAGTTTTAACAAAACATCTTTCTAATGTTTGTAATTGTTGACTGGTAAAAGCTGTACGAGAACGACGTTGTTTGCGTGGATGTCGAGAATCAAGAAGAAATTCTATTATGTATTTGGATTCATTCAAAAAAACTAATGGAATCAAAAAAGCGCAAACACAATACCTGTAAATCGATCAGGTGATCCATGAAAAAATGGTGTTACACTAGCACTTACAGATGACATCAATGGATTGACAAAAGATGAAAATGATGAATAATAGATTGATGCATATGGATGCATTTTTTAAAATCACTAAGTGATCTTTCTCCTTGTATGTGTATATGTTTTTATTTTTATTTTTTTGCTCTTCTTATTCTTTATTACACAAATCCGTTGTGCAATTAAAATCATTCGATAACATTTTCTCGGATTTAGATGATACATCGAACGTGCTGTCATTTAGATCTTTTCATTCATACAAATTGGTTTTTTTTTGCAATCATCAATTGATTATCCTGTTTTGAACTTAAATGATGAACAATGACAAAAACACATTCTCTTTTGATTATGTTGTCATCGTTATATAATTGAGTTTTTAAATCAATGATAAACATATGAGAAGAGGCATAACTTTTTCTTATTGAAAATTATGTGTCTTTGTTTTTTTCCTGTTAAAAGAAAGAAGGTATATATGCACTCTCTACTATTGATAATCCTACAGCGTTGTTTGACACGTTTTATCAACAATGAACTAAGAGATTACTTTGACTTATTGAGCTGTATGTAGAACATATTGGCAAGAGATTAAATAACGAAAGACAACAAAAAAAGAATGATAGATAAGATTAACACTAAAAAGTTACTGAAAGATTTTTTTTCGATATTGTGAATTAAGAGTACAAACCAAAGAAATTTGATTAAACACGTAGATCATTACTCTAATCGATCAATAGAAAAAATTCAAAGACATCCTTCTCTTCTCATTAAAAGAATCAAATCATTCAAAAGTCATTCATGATAATTGACAAGTTCTCACAATTGTTTTTCTTTTGCAATGTACTAAGCCTTGGCATAGGTCATTATAGAATGAGATATGCATATCAATTCCAGATTGGCCTATACAAGTCTTGGATATTAATACATTCAGAGATGAAAAATACTCATCAGAGAAGTCTCTCAACTGATAAAATGCGTTTGAGTCGAAACTACATGCATTATGTAGCTTCAAATGGGCTATGAATATCCTGACAAAAATTCGTGCCCTTAGGTTATCGCTGTGGGTATATCACATTTTTTACGATATCTCGTAAATGAATACCGTGGCCCACTTCCAGAATACTAGAAAAAGAGATTTTCCAATTTACACTTGACTGAAATAAGAAGATCGAATCTATCAAGGTAAACGACGATATAAAAGACACGCTTTTACTATAGCTGTATTGTATATAGGATTGAAACAACAAAAAGATCCGAGACCTTCACAAGAAACTATTCTCGTTAAGACCAATCTCTACGCAAAATTTTAAGATGAAATTTGAGAATCAGTTTTCCCACGGCTCCTGAGTAGAACTACAACATGTATTCAAAAAAAAAATACTGTAAAAGTGCATTAGCTTCAGAGTAATAAGTTCATCGTACGAACTCTTTCACGATATTTATGCATCATTCCGATCTACATAATACACTTAGTCTTGACTCAAAAGTGACTTATCAGTTGGGAGATTTCCCTTGTTAGTTGAAATGCAGTATTATTAATTGTCTAAGTGCTAATATGTTAAATTTCAGACATAGTTGTAATAATGTCTTGATTTTTGAATTACTGACGATAGACACGAAATATCAGAATACAGTTGTACTCTAATATAAATAATACTTCTTGGCATAAATTTATGCAAGGATTATAATCTTGATAAACCTTTGAAAAGTTACTTTAAAAAAATACATCTTGATTTAGAGATGTAGAATCCCCGCGAGTTCGATTCCCTAAATTTTGAACCTGATGACCTCTCTTGAGACGTCAATATTTAAAACACAACGTAGTCGTTTTTCACTTTTCTTTTTTCATTTCATCATTCGATCACAGATCACATACAAAATACATCATCATGTGAATTTATGTCTTAAATTTCACATATATATATATATATATAAGAGGGAAGACATATTTTCAATATTACCGCCTCGAAGCATTTATTAATCATGAAATTATTAAATTGTTTTTAAAACAATTTTGGATCTGAATTATTTCATTGAACATTATTGTCTTGAGACAAAGAATCTTCATTCTCATATATATAATTGTTCTAAGAATTATCTTTCTTGACGAACAAATATGATAACGACTTGTGAAAATCAAACAATAATTCAATTTTATCTTTTCGAAATTTTATTATGCATTTTTAATTTTAAGACTTGAAGGTTTTTCGAACATTGTTCTATTTCAATAAAATTTGCTTTACATACATTCAAGTAATAGCAATTTACTATTGATTTACTTCAAGAATTTTATATTCTTTGATTTGATCTGGAATATAAGTATTAAAAAAAACCAATAATCATATTTCATTGAGTATTCGATGCATCATCTGCATCCGTCGGTGGTGGTGGCTGTGATTCCATATCTTGTTTCTTTTTCTTCGATTTTTGTTGTGGAATATTGGTACCACTACATTTTAAACAATCATTCATTAATTTTAAATGACCCGTTATTGGATCTAATTGACTATCAGTACCAAAAAGGCCAAGACATGTAATTGATCCACTGGCGATTTCAGTTCGACCAGCATCACGAATAATTGATGTCACAACGGATTTATTTATAGATGCACGCTGTTCAATATCAAGTAATTCTTCAGATGAATCACCACGAACGACGATTTTTCTTTGTCCACTAATACGCCAAAAATTTATAGCCATCAAACGTCGATCAAGAATTTGTTGATATAAATCAATTGCAGAATGCGCAACTTGTGCTGCAATCTTTCCTGAACTCATAGAAAGTGAACCATTAACAATAAATAACATTTTATAGGTCATCATGTTTCGATCAGTTGTATCACTATCAGTTGGTATTACATTCTGAAGAAAAAATAAATTATATCTACAATTAAATCTAATTCATGAAATATGTTAGTTAATACTATTTTAATGGATAGAGCGATCATGTATTTAAATTTGATCTTTAAAAGACAATTCAATGATGTTATGTTTTTCGACTATGAAAAGTTAATTCTTTTTGTCTTCTAGATAACGGAAGTGATAATAGAAAAAAAAGTAGTACTTTTCTTGTTTTTTTTTTCTCATATGGACATCATAATAATGATTATGTAAACAGCTATATAAAGAAAAGCAAGAAGTTTAGCAGCAATATTCAATAATAGCCATATCGAATGTTTCTTCGTAGATGAAAAAAACATCGACATACAGTAGAAAAATATTGATAACGTGTGATTATTGGATAATTCATGATTTTTATAAGAATGATTTTTGAGCCTTAAGGGTACTGATTCATATGAGATCTTTACCACAGACACAGCACATAAGGCAAAGAACACATATTCGAGAAGAAATGTATGAAACAAAGTTTTCGGGAGTTTTTTCAGAAGCTCTGGTTTTCCATAAGATCGCATTGGATCTGGTTACTGCTCCTGTCTAAACTTGTCCGAACGCGCTAAAAGAAGTACGTAAAATGTTAGATCCCCAAGCAGGGTATTGGCATTCAGGGCTCTATAAATTCGACGAGGAAGATCAAAAACAAAAACTGCTAATTTTACCTATTGAGAATTATTCCAAGTGCTCACGGTCGAAGTTTTCTCCCATTAGGATAAAGTTAGCAAAGGTCGTAAGCAGGCCGATGCAGTATTATGGAAGATCAAAGTTTTCTGAAAAACTGCGGAAACATTGTTTAAAACTTATTTCCTCGAATATCTGCCTCTTTATTTTAAGTATCTGTCTGTGGTAAGGATTTCGGATATCATTCGAAAAGGTTGAGACTTTATTAAGTAATATTTTTAAAGAAATATAAATATCAACCTACCGATTCATAAGAAACTTGAGTAGCCTGTTCTATACTAGCTCCATTAGTTGATGTCACAGACTCTGCAGAAAAAGAAGGCGATTCACCAAAAACAACTGCCAATGCATCTTCCAAACTTCGATTATTAACAATTCTCAAAGCCTGAAATTGAAATTTTCCTGACGAAAATAAGAAACTAACAAAAAGCAAGAACCTGTCGAGCATCGTCCCGATGAATACCCATTTCCATTAAACTCTTAAGAAATTGTTCATTGACATCACTGTTCGAATAAGAAGATGCAGCAGCTGCTGCTGGAGGACCTCCTTCTGCCATAATGATTATTAAACAATCTAAAATAACTATATCGTCTTTCATTGGTTTATTCAAATAGATTATTCATGCTCAAATATGATGCGATAGTGTCGCTTTTTCGATGACGTCATTATTATCATGCATAAAATGAAAATAATTTTTATCGAGTTATTATTAAAATTCGAGTACTTATAAATAGACAAACACGCATACTAAGTCAACATAGTGTAAAAACACAAACGAGAATAGCAACCCACAATGTTCGGACTTGAATATGTGCACGATAAAATATGGAATGATGATGAATAATAAGCAAGAAAAAGCAGAAGAAAAAAAAAGCAATCACATTGTTTGTATAGGTTCAGATCTTTCCGAATGAAAAAAACTTGAATTTATTTGGGCGGAGGTGCCGTAGATCGATACCGGGCCGATTTCGGTTTATCAACATTTAAGGATGGACGTGGAATTTTCGATTGGAATGCTGTCGTAGTTGTTGGTGTTGTTCCAGTAGTATTTAATGTCGGTGGTGGTGATGGTGCAATAACAACAGATGGTGAAATACCTCGTCTTATTGAACCTGTTCGATTTCCATTACTTAATTTTGGACTCGAAACAATGACTGGTTTATTTGTTGTTGCTGCAGCGGTTGCATTCACAAATGCATTTGATGGACGTTGTCGACGTACTGGAGGTGCTGCTGCGGCTGCTGCTGGCGACTGTGTTCTTACTGTCTGTGGTTTAGAAGTTGGTAATTTTGCAGTAACTGCAGAAGACGTTTTTCGTTGTGGTTGTGTTGGATTTGTTTTTGTAAATAAAGAATTTATTTTACGCGATAATGTCGAACGTAATGTACCAGTTGGTTCAGCAGTTGTGTTTGTAGTAGCAGCAGTAGCAGTAGTGATATTATCGGGTTGAACAATTGGTTGTGTCAAATTTCTTGATGCACGTCTTGACACAGTCATAACCCAATCTCGTGCACTATTTTTAGTTGACTGCATACTAATTGTAGATGTATTTAATTGTTCTTCAATGTTTGCTGGAATAGCTTCGGGCTTATAAACTAAACGAAAAGCAAGTGGAGAAAGTTTTTCTAATTGAGCCATTATACGATCAAATAAATTAAATGTTATTGGAGTAAATGTTAGCATTAGAGCATCAGGCAATTGATAATAACGCTGAAGAATTTCTTTTTGTTTCATAAAATGATAAAGCCAATTAATGAGTTCATTTTTACTAGAATACAAAAAATACATAACGAACAGAAAAAAGATTGTTTACTTTAATAGTGCAAAAATAAATGCTTGAAATTTATAAGGCCAATACAATGAAGCATTCTGAGCAATTTGTTTAGCTTCATAAAATACTTGAAGAGCTTGTCCTAGAAGAAAGAAAAAAAATACAAATTAAAATTTTTAATTAAGTATTTATTTATTTATTTATTTACCATGATCAATCGATGTTTCAATTATTTTCCACAAATTAATTTGTTTGACTAATGGAAGATCTCGTCGTTGTGATTTAAGACCATGTTCAAGAATGTTTTGCAGAGTTATACATAAGTCATTTTTAAGTAATGTATCAAACTGAATATTATTTTCATTAGTAAGAAAAAATGTCTAAGGCAAAAAAAAGCAAACAGTTAATAATTAATTGCATAAGAATACTTTTACTTTTCCTGATCTTTTTATTTCGAATATACGCTTTACAATACTACTAACTCTTTCTAAAAGACCTAAATAGAATAAATGATTTAAAGATAATCAATTAAATTTGTTTTTTTTTCTACCATCAAGAAATGGATCATTTGTTTCAATTAATGTTGTTGTTGATACATTCATACTTAATGCTTGTTCAGGAATTGTATTTTCTTTATCATTTGAAGATGTCATTTTTTCCATTGTTCGATTGGATTCATTAGTATCAATAATGACAGGTGTTAGAGAAGATTCAACGACAGTTGGTATAATATTCACATGAGTTTTTTCCATAATAGCTTGATCATCTTCATCTTCTTGTTCTGGGGCAAGACTATCAGTTTCTCGTAAACGAAATTCATTTGGTGGACTTTCGGTAAATGAATGTAAATGATGAATACGATCGACAACAATAATATCAGCTAAAAAAAACAAAAATTAAAATTTCCAATTTAAATCCGATAAAATAAATATTCTTGATATAACTTACTTTGACATCGACGCATTTCACCATAACGTAATGTTGTTTTTCTTGTTAAATTTTCTTGATTTCCATGTAATGCTACAGCAAGATTATCATTATTTGATGTTGTATTATCATTGAAAGCAAGTTGTGCTGGTGCTGGATCAAATTGAATTGCTGGATTACATGGTGAAATAAGATGTTTAGCAATATTGTCTGAAAAACTAACACTTTTTTTTGTTTGATTTTGTTGTTGTAATGATGTTAGATCATGATCAGAACAACGTTCATGAGAAAAATCTTGTAAAACATAATTATTTATATTATTTGATGAACCAGTACTGGGCATGTTCGATGGCCAAAGATAATTAGGACGACCTACTTGAACATCAGCTTCTGAACAACGACGTTTCGTTGTAGGAGATGATGAATCCTAAAATAAAAACATCTATTAATTCAATCTCTACTGAATTAAGATATGAAACACGATGTAGTTGCTGTTGCTAATCGCAGCGATATATTCTAGCGAGCTGTTATTGAAATATAGCTGGCGATCGTAGATCAACAACGTATGTTATGATCTCTGGATAGTGTTCATTGCAGTCTGTACATACAACTTTCTACTCTATGTACTTCAACACTTTTTTCAGATCATATTTCAAAATATAACAAATATATTTGTAGAAATTTGCCATAGAATTCGAACTACTTTCATAAAAGCTCAAAACATCTTTGTTCACCTTATCTCTTGTTGGTTGAGGAATAGTTAATGCAGGTGCTGGTGATATTCTGTCTTGCAACATAGCTTGAATATCACATGAATTCGCTCTTGGTCCATATTTCAGACAAGATTTAAGATTTGATGTTTGTTGTTGTCCTTTAGGAAATGATGAAGGTGGTGGTAATTTCATTTTAATTATTGTCGGCGCTTCATTTGATCCATTAATAACTGCTGATGCTGGCACAGCGGCAAATGTCTTACGTAGTTGTGGACTATAAAAAACCCCTAAAGGTTCAGTTGAATGTTTACTGTTTTTATAACGTTTTATTGATTTAAGGGTACGTGGTCGTTCACTTTCTTGTTTTTGTTGTTGTTGAGTTACTGTTGGAGATGATATCATATAGTTAGTATTGATAGGAAGTGAAGGATTAGCTGGAGTTGATGTTGGTGGTAAGGGTGATGTAGTACGAGATCGAGGTAATTCTTTTGAATATTGAGAAATAAAAGCAAGATCAGGAAGAGATTTATGAATAGATGATGATGAGATAGGTACTGGTGATGGACGTGAAGGAACGGCAAGATGATGAGGCGAGTTTGATGCCATAACTGTCTGGAGATAATTTATTGATGGTGTAGGTTGAAAACGACTGTTCATTGGACTGTTTGATGAAGAATCTAATATAATAGATGTTTGTATCGCTTGATCAGTACTAGAATTTGTTTGTGATGATGGTCTATCTGTATGAGTTTGTCTTTTCTGATAATGAGATGATTTCGGTTTTTCTGTTATCATTTTTTCACCTGATATTGTCATGCTATCAATATTATTCGGAACCGTTGAATCACTTTGTTGCCGATAATATTGAAAAGCACTACGTGGTGATGAAGATGATGTAGCCAATTGTGATTTTTGTTGAAAGATTTTATAAAGACTTAATGGTGATGGTGGTCGAGTTTCTTTTGGTTCCATACCAGATGTTGTTCGTTGACTTTCTTTCATACGTCTCCATGATGCTGATGATGATGAAGATGTTGATGAATTTGGTGAGTTATTATTATTTGGTAATTGTTGTTGAGGAGAAAATGAAGTTGGATGAGATTGTGAACGAACAAATGTTGCTTGTTGATCCATTGTTGGTGGTATTGGTGTTTTATTTTCACGTTGTTCAATAGATTGTTCTAATGCATTGAATGATGAACGCATTGACCAATCATTCATATGATTTGCTACATTTGGAGATACACCATCATCAGAATAAGTTGAACTTGATTGTGAACTAAAAAGAATATATAGTTTCAAAAATTAGTTTCGAATTGAAAATTTTAATTTACTCTAGTCGATGTTTGTGATGATGATGAGGACGATGATGATGTTTAAGTCGATGAGATCTATCTGTTTTTGATTCAATTTGTGGTGGTTTATCAGTACTAAATGTTAAACGATAATTAGCTCGTGTATCATATTGATCGTCCCATGTAAAACCACCTTCTTGTTCATTATATAAACTTTGATCATTAGCTGGTGGTGTTTGTTGTTTTTTCATATCTTCATTTTCGAATAAATCACGGTGATTCCAAAGACTATCCATAGATAAATTTTCATCATTATAACCACCTGTAGTATTTGCATTATTTGTTAATGAAATACTTTTAACTAGAAAATTATCATCTGATATATCATCAATAGCCATTGTTTGTGAGGTAACAGCTGAAAATGATTTTGTTATAAGTTCTTGTCGATTACGATCACTTAATATTTCATCAAAATTATCTATATCGAGTGTATGTTTTTCGAGATTTTTTATAAGTTGTTCAACATTTTCGAGATGAGCTGCTGAAGATAATAAAATCGGATTAATCGATGAATCGTCCATGTTTGTGGTTTGTTTATTATTGCTTGTCATTTATTGTTTTAATTTGACGATTGTTCGGAATGGCAAAACGGAATGACATGAGAAAAGATGAGACCAGCGGGTCTAAAATAGAAAAAAAATTATCAAAATAATATTCATTTCTATTCTGAAATAGAAAAATAAATTTATTCTTCTGACACATTTACAGAAAACGAAACCAAAAATAATTTTTTATATGCTTCTTAACTAAAACAAATAATACACGACAAACTTATCAAACACAACAGAATATTTTTGTTTCGACACACAAAACATTTAATCCAAATCAATTAAATTTGATCCATTTGTCTCTGATGATGAATAAGAATTTGTTTGAGTAGAATTATTAGGTTTTGAATTAAGTTGAATGTTGCTAAGCATATTATTCACATAATTTGGTGGTATTGTTTCAGAAATCGATGAGTGACGGTTAGATCTATCTATATCTGAATGAAATGTCGTTTGTTTTGTTTTATTTACATTATTTGAATTATTAAATGGATCAAATTGTTCAATAAGTTTATTGATATCATTTTGTTTTTCATCATATTCATCATGTGGATTAATAGGTTTATTATTAAATGTTTGAAGTTTATATTGAAGTTCATTTTGTAATTGTTGTATTTTTGAATTTATTTGTAATGTTGTAGAACGAGAAGTTTCAGATGTTTTATTTACATTTAATTCCAGAGGAGATGGTAATAATGGATTCTAAATAAATGAAAAATATCAAAAAATTAAATAAAAATTTAATTGTACTTCATCAATATTGCAATCGATTAATTGATTGCTTTTATCTTGATCATATTCAGGAGTTGAAAAATGAAATAATAAAGATGATCTATTAAATATTTCAATATGATTCGATAGAAGAGGGTTGCCTTTATCTTTTCTTACTTATCATTTGAAAAATTTGATGAATTTGACTGAAAGAATATAAATATAAAAATTATGGAAAAGTTGTTTTTTTTGCATTTATTTTACCTGTTGAATTGTTTGCTGATTTGAATATACCTGAATAAAAATAATTTAGAAGAATAAACATTCAATAGAAATGATTTTTTTTTTCTGTGTTTTTATGTGAAATTATAAACAGCTTACATCTGATAACGTGAAAGAAGTTTTTACGGATGAACCTTCATTTGCAAGTCTTTCTTCCGGTTTATTTATCTACAAGAAAAATGTTTATCAAACACTTGTTTACTATGTGTTGTAGCTTACCACAGGTTGTAATTTTGCAGTTATAGTTTGCATTTGTTCAATAAAAGGATTGGTAGTCTAGAGAAAAATCTTTTATTTTTAATCATTGAATTGATATGATTGAACAACACAACCAAAAAGGAAATTGAAACATTTAGATAAAACATTATTCGTTGTATTCGCGAATAAGTGTTTTGCTTTTGAATATATTAGTATTCGGATTTTCAATCATGCTATCTTTCACATGCTATGTAACTTACTTTATCCGAAGTTTTGTAGATTTTTTTTTTGACATTAGGCTAAAAGAAGAAAAATTGATTATTCATTAAAATTTCAGTTTTTTTTTACACTAAGGACTAATTATATTCGTATTTTGTTATCGTATTTTATAGCTATCAAAACCCGAAAGTGTTTTATTTCCACATCATTTCTTTTGTAATTACTAAAATTCATGCACAGACAAATGAATGGATTTTTTCCTCCAAATAGATAATAGCCTTATGATTTTCTTCTCTCGCCGTCGTATTGCACTGTTATAAGACAAATCAATGTTTTTTGAATCGCTTTATATAGAAACAAGATAAAGACCTATGAATCTCATTATTTAAAAAGGACGTCGGGGAGCATTCAATCAGTTCAATTTTTCTTGTTTCAGTGATTGACTGAACTAGCAAGTTTTTGTGGGAGATGTTGAAAGCCATTTTCCAGAAAATTAACCCAGAGTATTTCGACTCATGTTGGGATTATTCGACAGAGAAAAAATGTTCTTTTTCGATCCATGTAAAGCTAGCGACTGTAACATGTTCTATTTAACAGTTATGAGGGTTTTTCAACGATCCCGATTTCGGTCTCATGATCGTGGAGCATTCAGAAACAGCCCAAGAAAAGAATAATTCATCACCATGAGTCGAATGATAATGTTTGTTTCCATTTTCTAACCGGTTCCATGCCATTATAATAAAATCTTATTATAATGGCATGGAACCGGTTAGAGTTTGAAAACAAACATTATCATTCGACTCATGGTGATGATTTATCCTTGTTTTGATATTTTTCAAAGTACTTCAAGGTTATTAGACCGAAATCGAGATTCCCAGAAAATTCATATAACTCTTTAACAGAACATGTAGGAGACGTCAGCTTTGCATGGACCGACAAAGAACAGCTTTTTCTATCAAATAATTACAACATAAATGGAAACTCAATGTGACAGTTTTCTTGACAATCATTTTCAAAATCTTCTCGTAAAAGCCTTATGTGATTGATCAACTGTTGGATCAATCAGATTTGAGCTAATTTGATGCTGCCCAATGTTCTCTTTTAACCAGTAAAATTCATAGGTCCGTATAGTGTTCCTATCGAAAGTTATTTAAAAAAATATCAACCTGTCATATATTTTCGCATCTATAATAGTATTATTTTGTTATAAACATTACGCATATCTCACAATGAGCAAAGTCTATAGAGCACGTAGAAACGGCTTATTTTCTGTCAAAAACGAACTTTTTTCATAGAAGTATTGGTTTCCATCACTCAATAAATAAAATGATAAGGAAAAAAGTAAAATTCGTTAAAGAAGATTTTCGATGTCAAATGCACGAGAAAATTCTCATCGGAAAATCTTGCTGGAAAGCATTTTCATTTTGAAAAGTAACAAATGACACATTATTTGATGAAGCGTGTTGTGCTGATTCCAAATATATCTTTATTTTTCTTTTGAAGTATTTCTGAGACAAAAGAACGCGTAATACATTTAAAAACAAAGGTATTTTTTTAAACCTGCATTTTACATTCTACAGTAGAGTTCAGCGTGACCATAGCTCACGAAAGTTCTATAGCTTGTATTAGTGCGATCTGTTACAAAGCAACCTAGTCATGTCGGTAATATGCAGAAATGTATCGACTCATGTTATTAAGATTTTCGTTTATTTAACGAGCAGAATGAAAATAAAATCATGAAATATTTTGATTCGATGAAGAACAACTTGAGTCATGTTCTTCACTAACTGAATGATGAAATCACGAATGGATTAGATGAATTCATCATTCTTGCTACTGATTCACTTGAGACTTTTGACAGACTAGGTACTATAAATTTCTTGCGGTATACTCTTGCTGTTGTTAGTCTCACTTTATTCAAATCATCCACTGATATGATATATTAGATTTAGTTACAAGATTTTCAAAGAGTATCAGCTGAATTTTCAAACAGATCGGGATTGTGAGTTATGCTGATTTCTACTCAAGAACGATTTATGCAGCTTTATGCTAAGTGACTATACAAAACATGACTTTTTAGACAACCTTTAGTTTAGAAAGCTTTCATACTTTTCCCGACACGAAAACTGTTAAAATACATTTTTTCATATAGAATGATAGAGCAATACTTCGACGATTTATTTCGTAGATTTTTTTTTGTCATCTTTGAAATAATGTTTTTAAACATAAAATTCGGCCACTTGCCCAAACATATGAAAAATAATTCAAATCGCAAAATATCTAACTTTCATTTTTTTCATCAAATGTCTCTGTTGTTGACAGCTGTGTATTTTTCTAACTATCAATAAGTGATTGATAAGAAAAAAAGAACTTGCATCACAAATAGATCTAGTATACTCTCTGAAACGTATTGAGTTTTGTTTTTTTTTCGTACGACTTACTTTTTTCAATTGTTGACTTTGTTCAACATTTTTTACTTCAATATCAAATTCATCAATATCAATATCAGGATTAAGTTGTACATAAGTTCGATGGCGAGAAAACTTAAATTAACAATAATGAAATACAACATTAAAAAAAATGTTTTTCTTCTTTATTACTTGTTCAAACATTTGTGTATTAACGACAGAGGACATAAACAAATACATATCAGATTTAAGATATTGTTTCAAATAAACATTTCTATCAAAATCTAATTGTTCATTTTTTATTACAAATCCACTTGCGTAATCGCCTATTAATCATAAACTAAATCACTTATGAATCAAAAATATGTCTTACTAACCAAGAATAAATGCCATAGCTCGAAGAAAAACTCTTGCTAAGTGATCTTCAATAAATTGTGATGATGGTTGAATATCTTTTTTCATATTACGTATCAGATGTTTAGGAAATAAATTCAAATCGTCATATTGAGATTCAATTCTTCTATCATCAATATTTACTATTACTACATCACCTAACTCTTTTTTATTCATTCTCGAATAAATACTTGAATGTATTCCAATAATATATGGTGCTGTACATTGTGCTGTCCATGCCATAGATTCGGGAAGAATTGGTAAAAAAATACTTTGCCTAAATAAAAAGAGAAAATAAATTTTTTTTTCGTTTTGTTTTTAAACAAATTTGATTCTTACCAATGTAGTGGATTAATTAAATTTAAACATCCACAAGCACATGCTAAGAAAACAAAACTTATAAAAATAAATTTTCATTGAGCATTAAACTAACCAGTTAAATGAAAAAGTTTTGATGAAATAAATAAAATTCTTCGTTCAAAAATTAAATGTGCAAAAAGACGTAAAACTATATCTGGACCCAATCGAGAAAACATTATTGTAAAATTGCTCTAAATAATAAATTTTGTTTTTATTTTTCTACTAAGTATTTTATTTTAGAAACCATACATTAGATGATATTGATGGAAGTTTACGTTGATCAGGTCGAAGATAATGATATACCTATATAATTTCAACATAAATAGAAACATTTAATAATAATATTCAATAATACTTTTGCAAGATTATTAATTTCAATTATTTCTTTGCCTCCATGTTTATAAAATTCTTCAATTGACATTAGTTTATAATTATATAATGATGATAAAAATGTTTCAACTTCTGCGACCTTGAGAAACAAACAAAAACAACTAAATTATAGCATGGCAATAAAAACGTACTGATTGCGTATTTATTATTTGTGATACATCATTAAGAATATTACAAAACACTTCAAACCATGGATAATAACTATTATAGAAAAAGTTCTATTTATCTCACGAGAATTTTTACATATTCATACCTGATTATGCATAAACAAGTAGATTCTCGATTAGATCGACGACAATATCCAAAACGAAAAATTAAACTGGTTGAATCAAGGACAACAAATGTAAAATATTCACTTTGATCATCGCTAGAAAAAGATTATCTTTTTATCTATCTTTGTTTTTTTTTCCGAAATCAAGTAAGTTCTCATACAATGGAACTTGATATGGATATGCAAAATTAGCTGCTGTTTTGAGAATATGATCTGAGAAATCATTTGGATATTGAATTAAAATTGCAGGTGCTAAAATAAATTTATATTTAAATTTAAATTTAAATTTTAAATATTGATAATAATAGACCTACGTTCGTTGTTAATCGGTTGATGAATCTCAAGAAAAACTTCAAAAAGATGTTCAGGGAATTGTCTGAATAAAAAAAATAAAAAAAAAAGAATGAAAGATATTCATTGAATTTATCACTTAATACGAGATTCAATTTCTTTTGTTACTAAACCAGAGGCCATCTATAGAAAAAGTAACATGTATTATTGTAATCAACAATTGTTAATTCAGGTATATTTTTTACCTGTTGACGTTGAGTTTCCGTGATAAATCACATACCTTTCTCTAACTAAATAAAAATTCTTATTGGCTAGTTCATAAAAACCAATAAGAAAATAGATTGAAAACTCTTAAAAAGAAATAATTTACTAAAATAAATATTTTTCAAAATGAATTTTAATGCTTAAAAAATTCAAAAAAAAATCATGCAAATGTTTTTTTTTTTTTTGGATAGAATAATGATCAATCATAATAGAGAATGAACAATGGCGAACACCTGTAGCACATCGTGGCGTAACAAGAAATTTTATTGGTTGTACACTGCTCTACTACGTAGTTTACGAATATGTATTTATGGTGATGAAGATTATTTGTTTATTAGAAAACAAAAGTGACGATAGCGTATTTTTCTTTCAGAATAAAATAATGTTGCATTTATTTCGTTGATTATGAATCCTTGGATAACAGATAAATATATAGCATCATTAAAACTGCGAACGAATATTGAACTAAGTAATGGCACAGTCGTAACAACCAATTTTTAATAAATTATTGCAAGGAATGAATCTTAAATTGAAGTTGTATATATACGAGAACGAGAACTCTCTCTAGTTAACTTAAGTTCATTCTTTCTCGAATCAGTTCAATGGAGTACTTTATTAAAAATGTCTATAACTGCGATTTGACTATTTGTAAATCGAACAGATTTTATGCTTCGAAGTTGTCTATTGATACAAGGTATTATTTTTATATTTCCAGACAAGTACTAAAAATTGATCAAAAATAAAATTGAGTACATTTTATATGTACTTTTGAAAAATGAATGTGTTGAATTCTTTCCGTTTTTATGATATCGTAGCTCGTATATTACTGATAGAAATATTAACTTTGATCTAGCTGATATTTTACTTATGTTAGTAAGTAGGAAATACGTTGTTTTGATTTGAAAATTGCATACGATAAGTTCAAATAATCAATATCAGAAGAAATTAGAGAAAAAAAAAGAATTATTTACAAGTAAATTTCGTCATGTAGACAATAAACTTTATTTATTATATTTAATAAATCAAACATATCGTCAATGCAACGGCAATGATAGTTAAAGACAGAGCCTCTTTCAATTAAGGATTTTATTGGTAGAAATATTGAATAGAATGAATTCTTTTCTTTTTCTGTTCTGTTCAATGACAATTTCAACTAAGCTAGATACTCATTCAAGCCGTGTTATCATATAAATGACAAAACTGATATCAGTTTGATAGTTCTATTCGTCAAACAAGGAGTACTTTTAATGGATAATGTTATCTAGAGAAAATGCATTATCAATCAAGAAAGAAAAATACTCAACTTTTTCATCTTTTGTTTGTTAAAAATGAGTTAAAGAAAAACAGCTGAATAGTAACACATCTCGTGTTTTTATTATCTCAATAGATGTATATGAAAATATTGACCTTATATATTCAATCTTTCAAAAATTTCTGTTAGTATAAGCTGTAACATAAATGACTATGGAAATAAGTTACACGTGAAACAATACTACTACTCATGTAGTCGAAAATGCATAAATAATGGAAAAATCATGCATTACTGCCCATTATTTTGCGAAAAATGCCAAATAATTAATGACAATGCATTCTTTTTTGCAATTTCAACGCAATTCAATGCATTTTTCACAAATAATGCTCTAATGATGGACAATGCATTGAAATTCAATGGATTGGCATGCATTTTTAGAAATAATGTAGAAATGGCTCGACATTACGTGAAAGAGCAATGCATTTCAATGCATTGTTGAGTAATAATATGGTAATTAGACAAAATGCTTTGGAGAAAGATGCAATTCCATGCATTACTGGAAATAGGGTGTGGATGTGGGTGTGGGTAGGTGTCAGTGAAGACAATACCCACACCCACACACTCACACCCTAATAGTGCCCAACTCAGGTGATGCTCAAGCCTGTCAAACCTATACGTTCCGCCGCCTATGGTTTTGAATATCGTTTTTCGTTTATTTCCTATCATAGGAATAGGAATATTTTCAAAGTGCGGTATAATCTTTCGTAGTCACCGTGATGACTGGTTTTTGAACATGGATTTTGAAATGACTGGCTGTTTTCCAGAGAGATGAAAACACGATTTGAATGCCTGATTTGTGCATATATTGAAAGTGATACGAATAGATTCGGATGAATTAGAAATGAAATTTTAAGGATACGTTAGAAAGTAAACCAGTGGTTAGTTGGGTTCGAATAGTTATCAGAAGGCTGAATACTATGTGAGCCAAGGACAAATATAATGAACAGAAATGCATTACGTGGTGTTTACATCTGCATGTAGGAGCATACATGTAGTTTTGAATGCATTGTGATGCAGTAAACTTTTAATGTGCGCAATTACATGATAATGCAACCTATTTAATGCGTTGGGGTCTTCATCCATCGCAATGAATTACACTAAGTAATGCATTATAATGCATGAAATAGGTTGCATTATCATGTAATTGCGTCCATTGCATTTCTATTGAAAAATAATGCATTGCAATTTACACTATTTTGGAAAATCGGCTACATGAGTAGTGACTACTAGTAAAACTGAGTTCACTTTTTTTTGAAGAAATAAACTATAAGATTGTTAATCAACTCATTCTCTGTTTCTGTATTCAATAGTAAAGCTTTACAAATCCTGGTTGAATTATTGAATATATAAAAGAAAAAAAAATTTCAAAAATTTCTGAATAATTACATCGAAATATGTTTCTCCTGTTCATTGATATAATTGTCTTTGTCAGATATAATGACTTTTTCATAGTTATCAATAGGTAATTTTACAAAGAATATGTCATTGAGTTCGAAAAAATTAGCGTGTGAACTATTTGTCCATGGAAGAAGAAAAAGAAAGAGCTCAAAAAGATTCAAATAAATGTTACTAGAAGATAACATCATGTCTTAAGAGGCAAGTGACGTTGATAGTAAGGGTGTAGCTGTGAGATAAGAGTACACCATCAACTTCACATGGAAGCTTTTCTTTTTTCTCAATTCTTTTCTACGTCAATTTAAAGTCAAGAAAATTTTTAAGATAAATTTAAATTGTAAATGATCTTCTTTCTCCAGATAGTAGCATGATATTTTACCGATGACTCGGATCAAATAATCTTTGAGTTAACTATGATACACTTGTGAAACAATGAAAATGTTTGTGTTCGTAACCTAGGATAAGAATTGAATATTGAATTATCTAATTTAAGAAATCTGCAAATAGAAAGTGATCCATTGTCTGTCTATCGAAAAGATAGCAAAATTGCGTTTTTCTATATCAGTCGCAAGACAATTTGATTAAATAAAAAATCGAGTGAGCACCTCTTGCTAATCATATTCGGTTTGAAGTGATATGAGTGGCAGGTGATTCGACTAGAGTTGTGCAAGATCAAATTTTTCTTTCATTTGGCTGATAGTGATTTCTTTTCTAGTGGTCACAATCTTGATTATGGCTCTGATCTAAACAAACCAGCTTCGAAATATACTCAAAAGAATTCTGGAGAATATTGGAAAGTTTGCTTCTTTAGTTATATAAAATCATTGATTATGACATTATTTAGTCTTCTCGCCATGCAACTGCAATCGAACATGTAAATATAATCGTCGATATCTGCTCTAATACTAAAAGATGCTAAATTTTAACGTTTACTAGTCTCCGAATTCAACAGAACCAACTATAGTCTATGCTTCTGATACTTTCATATTTCGTATTTTTTGAATTAAAACAAATAAAATCAAAGGTAACTTTTTATTAATCTATATATTTAACAATCTTTCAATTAGTGTCTATTGTGTAATTGACCTAATCTTATGTGGTATGAAAAAGCACACTATATGATGAATATTTCGACAAAAAAAAGAATGATTTGATGGATGAGTCACAAATGACTTGTGATAGAAAATGTTAGATAGAAGGAAAAAAACTATTTCCTATTCATCATAGCTTAATAAGTCTATACATAAATATTTATTGTTCATTGTTTTCACCAATGACAATACGAAAAAGACAGATATATACAGACTGATACAAATAGACAGTATGAGTTAGACATGCATGATTCCAATAATAATCATGTGAATATACTCAATTTGACAAATGAAATGTTACTTACCATTTTCAACAAATTGAATATCGGCGATGCTTTTTATTGGTTTTTGAATATTAATGAACAATTTGATCAATTATTAGTTCATCCGCTTTTTAGCCGTCATCTTAATATGATCATCAAAACATCATTTTATCGTATCGCTTGAATACACAATCAAGTTCTTTATAGCATTTGGGAAAACCCTTATCTAGAAATCATCATCAGTTTAATGAACTCACTGTTGTACTATATTCAATGTAATCTATTCTTGTTTCTTTATTATTTGTTAATTTTCAAGAAGAAATACTGTTTCAATATTGCACAAGTATATTAATTATTTCGTTTGTTTTATAATTGAAAAAAAGCAATGATTTTATTAGGCATATACATTTACTATTATCCTTGGTTTTTTTTAAATTGGAGAAGATTAAATTATTCATCAAGAATAAACTAAACATCCGAATATTGATATTCATAATGACATTATAACAAAATAGTCTGATACTCTTTCAAAAAAATTGTTTTATTCTTAGTTTTAAGTAAAGGGTAAATCAGTTTAAATTTTTGTCAATTATATTATGATCGAAGTTTATCGATTTGATTGTCTAATCGATCATCAAAAAATTGCGTGCGTGTAACGGTAACTAAATCGAAAATCAATATCGTGACTTTTGATGGTTGTCTTTATTTTCTTGATAGTCGTCTCAATTGTTTATCAACATAAATTATGCGTATTACGAAAATTTTGGATATGGCTTTGGATATGAATTGACTGATATTTCTGCGCACGGCATTTAACTACCTACATTCACATCCCGCAAAATGAATTTTTGTTCTATTCTGATTATGTTAACTTACCTGTGTGCATGTGAGGATGAGGTGAAGTCACAGCCAAATTCAATTATACCCATACCCATTCACACCAACACTTAGCCATACCTACTCCCACAATTATACCTAGATCCAACTTCACTCATGCATCTCACATCCACACCCCGGATAGATGTATACACATACGCGCCCTCACCTACATTCAGAGATAAGTATTGCAGGAACACTCGACATATCTTATGTTACCGTCACTGTGTCATGAAACAAATATTTGCACACTAAAAATTTTCTAAAAATAACTAACTGTTCTTGTCCTTGTGTAACTCTGTTGGATAGCAGTTCTGATATTAAACTTTTCAGACTACTGTGCCTATCCATGTTTACGTTGATACAAACTATGAAGTCGCAAATTAATGTATTGAACATTTGTAATCTTTGTCATATGCGGTATAATAAACGAAAAAAAAAGGAAAAATTCCGAAGTTGCCATAATTATGAATCGCTTGAAAACTGATATGGGTGACATAAATGCTGTCAAATGTAGTTCAGTGAATATTTAAACAACAATTTCCTACCTTATTTTTCCTCAACTCGGATGATACGATAGGCGTCTCATTAAATAATGCTTCTTCACAAGTAATGAAATCGGATCAACAATGCAATCAATTAATAAGGGATCAGGTAGTTGAATTATACCTAAGTTCAACTTTGTGTTCACACATGTGAATAAAAAAATTTTTTTCTATCATAAGAAATCTTTACTATTATTCTGTAGAGTGTGCTGCATTTGGAAAAAATATTTTAATAGTAATGCAATGAAAAACCCATCAGATAAGCAAGATTGTTTGCTATTTATACTCAACATGTAGATATCAGGAAAAGAACGATACTGCTCTGAAAACTTAAATTAACTGTTAGTTGACAATAGAAGCTACTGACGAAAATAAACTGAACTGTTCTAAGCACACCAGCAAGAATTAAATTCTCCTGATGTTCAACTTTCTATAAAAAAACCACACAATTTACTTAAAACAAATAAAAAGATTTGGTTTCGATGACTCACGAAAACTTACAGATGATAAATTTGGCTTAGGAACTTATCGTACAAGAAATAACGTTTATGAACATGTGAAAGGTATGAGTGTGAATGAAGAAATACACACACTTATGAATTAAGCAAATAAAGAAGCTACATATATATGCGGATAAATGCGTCTATCTTTTGTCGACATATTGGACATGATCGTAGTGAATGCCCACATGGGACACACGTGGCCAGATGACCACATGGAACACAAGCCAGAGTCTTGTCTTCGGTCAGACACAATGCACATGGACTCGTTGAAACTGTATTCGCTGTTTGGATAGGCCGAGCATTGGTACTCATTGGAGTTTTCTTGGACATTTTTGTTTCTTCAATGGTTCGATCTACGAGTGTTCTTGAGTTGGATTGGCTAGGAGATGATTCAGACGTAGTGGTCATTTCAACATCAGAAGCGTTCGATGAACTCATTGAGACCATTGCAGCAGAAGACGCTGTCGAGGATTGTGCAGGAAGAATTTCTAGATAATAATTATATCATATGATTTGGACTATACGAATGATATTTAAGCTCTACTACGCAGTAATAAATAGTTAATTGATGTTCTCTTTTCTTTTGTGAAACATGATTGTGAAGCTATTAAGCGAGACATTTGAACTTCTTATTTAGCCTTGAATTGCGATCTCAAAATACTGATTTTATGATTGCGTTACAAAATGTACGAGATGTTAGACAAATATTTAGATTATGAATACACTAGCTCTATCAGATGTCATACTTTTTTTGTGTGCATAAGACTTTTTTTATAGATAAATGCATCGCCAAAGTCGCACATCCACTTATTGAGGTAAATAAGTAAATATTGCCCTTTCCATTGATATTTTATGTAAGTTATTGTTTTCAGTCACGGTCGATTACGTTAGCAGGACATGTCGTATATACTTATCTACATCAATAAGTTGATTCTTACTTTATTTTGATGCCCATAACGAAGAGAAAACCGACGAGGAGATTCGTACTCGCTAAACTGATTCTTTTTTATGTAAGAAAAATACCTGGTACGAATGCCTCTCGCATTTGTCGCATTTTAATACTTGGTACTATGATATTTTCTTTTTTGCCGTTGATACAATTGATTTGTTTCTGTAGAATAATGCAAGCCATCAATAGATCGCAATCGGCAACAAAATCATCCACTAAAAAAACAACAACAGTGATTGTAGGTATTTTATTTCATGTTATCGTTGTAAACATAATCTTTTTTTTACATACATTTCAACCGAAGTTGATCCTCCCAACAACGTTTAATTATTGATAATTTGAAATTTTGGTTAAGCAAATTTTGCGATATAGGTAAATCTAGGCGAGCAGCCACCAAGCGTGACAATGTACTTTCATCCGATATTTGCAATTTTTGCGCACCACTAGTAACATTGTTGGTTGGTTCCTTGGGTTTAGTACGTTCTAGAAGCAAAACAACAGAGTCACTTCATCATTTTGTTTAGCAGTCAAAAATTTTAGAAAACGAACCTTGTACGCTTCGTTTGGACTCCTGAATTTTTCGATATAGATCATCTCCGCAAAGTTGCTTTGCATATCCACAATGCGGAAACCACCTAGCATGCTCAATTATAGGATTATCGTTCGCACCCCAATTCTGCAACGAACCATTGCAGTAGAAACACGTAACTATCGTTCCAGTGCCGTTATAAAAGAATCCGGCACGAACGAGATCATCAACAGATGGAAGTGGTTCGTTGGGCCATGTAGCAAATGATTGATGACGTTTTGGAATTTCTATATAATATGAGTTGCAAGCAGCGGCAAGCACAATTTCATGTGAGCGAAATGCGTCGACAACACCAGCAACTGCTGATGTTCCGTTGGTCACGGAACTCAGATTGATAATTGATGGAGGCGTGGCTTCACGGCGTATTAACATATTGACGACAAAAGGACATTTAGGCGAAAGCGTTTTATGCACTTCACATGGGTCGTCTGTATGTGGTGTCCATTGTTGACAAATAAGGTTACAATAGATACAGATAACCCGATCGCCAACATTGCAATTGAAAAAGCCAGCTTGGATCATTTGTGTTTGAGATGGTGAAGTTCGATGTGGCCAATGCGAGAATGTCTGACGACGTACTTTTTTCACCATTTCCACTTCGACAAAAGGAGGTGTCTCAATACTCCTGCTGGTTGCTTCTATTTTCTGACGTTTAGAAGGCATATCTTCTTCTTTACTGGAATCAGTAGTTGGTAAATCAATATTAATAGCTGTTGATGTATGAGACGAAGTGAAGGATAAGACTTCAGTCGATGATTTAATAGATTTAACGAATTTACAATTTGGGCTACGTTGTGCATGAACTGAAAACGGATTCATATCCAATGTCCAACTAGCCACTTCTAGTTGACAATCATTGCATCGAGCTGTATCGCCAACATGTGTGTAATGAAATCCAGCTGCTTCCAAAAAATTAACAGAGTGAACGCCTGGTTGTGTAGTAATACGTCGACATCTTTCTATAATCTTAGTTAACCCATGGATACCGTGCGATGTAACTTTGCACTCATCCGATGTTGATACCTTACACAGAGTCTCACCATGTACTCGGGAGTTTGAACACTCAGATTCTACTTGTTTTTGACAGTTTTTCTCAGTACTCGACTGCACTTGATCGCAGCTCCTGCATGTTTGACTGTTTAAAATGGAAGTCTTAGAATAAAAGAGTTCTTTCTCAGCATCAGTCTTATTGCACTGTACAAATGGCTTCAAATCCTCGAATTGCGTCGAAGATTCGAGAGTTTGTTTTCCATCATTTAGCGATTGTTTTGATGAAGTGAAGGGTTCTGTTAGTGTGTCTCTCATGTCAAGTATTGTTGTTGAAAGTGAGATAGCGCAATTAATGTGAATAGTTTCGTCTAGATAGTTTTATCTAAAAATTCAATCAAGATTAATTCCTGTAGCGATTTATTGTTTTGCATATCCAAGATACAGATATGAGAAAAGTGAATTAGTCATTGATAAGTAAGGTTATTCAAAAACAAAAGATGTACAATCATAGAAATAATACTCTAGTTTCCATCATAATTTATGTTCTGTATGATTTTCTGCGATATATATGAAAGACTTTTCCTTATAAAACTAAAGTCTAAGCATCAGCATTTATCAGATCTTTAGAATGGTGTTAGAGCCACTAACCAGTTACAGAATAGTGATAGCAAGCCTAATATGGTATACAACATCCGTCAAGTTATTTGCCTCGACTTGACATCGGGACTTTTTACAACTATCCCCTCACGTAACCTAAAAAGTTTTTGTTTCGTTTTTACGAAAGTACAGAGAATCAATCTCGCCAATTAGAGAATATCATCTTAGTTTTTTCAAAAACTTTTACAATAAGTCAGAAAGCGAAATTTTTTTAAATTGTCATGTGGATCAAGACTACATCCAAAAAAAAGAGGCTTGGATCTATTCTATCTAACGAAAGCCTTATCGATCCTTCTTCTTTGTCTGATTCCACACAAAGAAAAGTATCATATTTCTTTAGTCAGAATTTTTTTTTATAGAAGATGAAGAATGGCTGAGTAGCCTTACTGAGTGAGCTCAGCACGATGTGGCCTCCACTGGCTAGTGTACTACTTTAGGAATTTTTATCATGGCGAAAATCTGTACATTTTATTTTTTGAAAAAAGATTTTTGAATCAAAAACTAACCGTTAATTACTCATTCATCTCAAACCGTAAGGCTGAAAAGCATGATTGGCATGTTGGAAATGTGGATGAGGGTATTTATTTCACGCTTATACTGGCATTCTCTTACAAAAGCTTTTTTCATTATAACGAAAATTCGTAAGTGTGGAACTGAAAAAGTTGGTTCAATTGAATGCACTGACTGCTAAGTTTCGAAAAATCCTGAACGTTTTCTTATTCTATTTACACTGCTACGGGGGAGGGGGGGGGGGGGGGGGGCTCATTTAAAAATAGTGAAAAAGTTTTCGTTTTCTTACGTTAGAGGAACTCGAAAGTTTCTCGTGTTCTCTATGCCATAATTTTACACGAAGATCTTCATTACTTCATCGATGACTTCTTGCTCTCTGTTTCTCTCACTCCAGACATCTGTAGGCTAGCTATGGGAAGTACATATGTTGTTTAAACTTGTTTGCCTGACATCTTCTGTATGCAAAAAGTGTCATACGCACTCAGGATTTGATATCGTCTGAATCGATGAAATATAAATGTACTTGATGGATCGATTCTGTTTTGTGTTCATCGGCTGTTCTATTACGCAGTTTTACATCAACCAGCAGCTGTTGTATTGTTTGGAAAAGACCGATCACTTGAGGCTGTACAAGTGCTATACACGAATGGTGTGAGTAAACTAGGAAGAAACAGAAGAAAAAGCCAAGCGAATCACGAGTGTTGTAGAACGAATAAAAGTGGGAGGCAGTAGATGGGGTTAGCCTCAGTATGTGTGTGATCAATACCTACAATATGAAGACTATTTTTTTCAGTTGAACTTTTTATTTTCGTTACTAATAGGTATGTCATGGTATTTAGTTAGAAGATATGAAAGGTCAGCCTTCGTCACACTATTTATCCACGAAGTGCAACACAGCTTCATTGACTGGCATAAAATTTAAGTGCTTCTGTAGAGTGCACTGGAATATGTCTTTTTCTGTGAAACCAAACTGATAAGCAAATACAGAATGATACATTCTGCACTGCCTTTAACAGGTTTTTTCCAACTACCCTATAAACATCACAAACTGACATCCATGAGTAGTACTATCGCGTAAGCACGAATGTATAAGTATCGGAAGAGATTATCTACACTTTTTTAAAAGCTATGGTTTGGAGCATAACTGTGTTCTAGCAATAAAGTAGACCATAAAAGTGTAATATGAAAGGCCTTCAACAATTTTTGACAATACTGTGTGTTTCCGTCAATACATAGTGACTCTTCACAGAATCATGTAAGAACAAGTTTGCCTGTGCTGTAACTGATCGATTCAGTTTAAGATCATCACCATTGCTCAAAACTTGAGGGTGGGTAGATGATGTTAACATTGAATAGTTGTTGATAACCAGCGACTGAAGAATAGACTTACTTATGTCAACATTTAGTCTTGCCCTCGCTCGCTACATCCACACCCAAGCTCATTATGCGCTATTGAGCGGTCGTAAATTTTGTTTTTAGGTTGGGCTCGGTTTTTATACTTGGATATATTTCTAGTGTGATTTTTAAAATGTTGTGTGGGAATTTTGATGATCACTATCTTTATCAAGCCTTACCAAAACTATTTGTCGCTCCCTGTTCAATCACCTGATCCGACATTTATCAAGCTTGGTTGGCCACTATTGATGAACTAATGTGAAAAATCACATTTGAAAATGGACTGATCAATTAGAGGCTATTGTCGAATGTAGTGATAATTTATTCGAACTTTCAATAGATTGAATAACTCTTGTCGAGTTTGCCTACACGTACAAATGTTGTATCTATATATGAAAAAACAGACTCAATCTATTTCCATATGTTTTGTCTTAATTCCATGCGAAACGACATCAAATTGGTGTTTTTAGGTGAGAATTGGTCTGAATCGGTATTTCGAATCGAAAATGACATGAAGAAACGATTATTTAATACTTGATCAGAAGAAATTAAAGATAATTTTGTCAATGTCTTTGAATAGAAAATATAGAAGTTCGTTTCAACTATTTCAATACCGAATCACTTGAGAAAAGATGATCATTATCGATTTTATTCAATGATGAGCACTACAATTCAGCACTGGATAGATTCTTTACGTTCGTAAAATTTAAATCCCGATAGAACTCAATACAATATCAAATGTTAGCATAGGCGAAAGTGAATACCGATAATTATATACAAAAGTCTTCTCAGTGATCAGAGTAAATTGCATCAAGACGTGTTCACGTTTTGTATGACAGAAAAGACAGCATTGAATAATGAAGTGAATAAAAGAAAGACTTAAGCATCTAGTTTTTGGACTCGGATTGCCAGCTTCTCGTCTTTTGTTAGTTCGATCACCACTAGAACTTCTTTGTAGCACCAATGGTGCCTCATATTTGGCTTGACATCGACATCTACGAAACATTTTAAAACTGCTTGTAGGTCGATCGATTTGACCGTAATATATGTTGAATGAAAGTTATTGCCTGTTAAGACCACTACAACCATTTGCCGATAAGAGATAGAACACAGAACAAGGTAATGCTCTCGTGAAAAATTCGAAACTAAACCGATTGAAAAGATGAAATGAAGATATTTTTCAAATTTTCTTTTATCAGGCTAGAAGTGACGTCATTGATGGAAAGTATTTCACAATTTTTTATCAATGTAATAATGGCGCGTTGCAGTGCGCGCTTGTAAGAATTTTAAGAGTGCAAATAAAAGCGACAATACAACTTTTTTACAGAAATAGAAACTGAGTAGACACACTGATAAGAAGAAAAAAGGAAAAAAGGGTATGAAGAGAGTAAAGAAAGAGAAGAAAAACAAAGTGTGATACATTAAATTAATATCCTTTCTTTTTCTTTCTATTCATTTGTCTCAATAAGAAGCAACCACTTTAAAAGGAACGTTACGTTTCGAAATGAATGCATCTTTTTTTTGGGCTTATATCAATTTGAAAGAATTGCCGAGTTCCAATGTGCGAAATTCTTCCGTTGAGTTTAATATGGATTATCTGTAAATTTATAATTAGAGATACCCAACTATCAGAGTGATCTATGATAGCATGTTGATGCCAAGAAACGCACACATCGGATTCAACTGCTCTACCGCTTTTTGATCACGTAATTGCAGATACAAAGTATAGATATTCTATGTAGTACAAGTAAAACAAATGAAATGAACTATCTCTTTGTTACGTAGTAAAGAATTGCATTAAGTAGTGTGTTTATTCTTGATTCAAAAAATAGACACATGACAAAAAATAATAGAAAGTAGGACCAATAGAGAGAAAAAAAAATGGTGAGTACATGATGATGCGTACATATAACAAATAGATGAAGAGAAAGAGTGACGTTGATGTGAATCGTCTCTTTTTGACCACATCCCATCCTTCTTACGGACCGTGATCGATATAACATGCGTCATTGTGTGAAAACAAAGTGGCTCGGTTATTCTTCATATTAATATCAGGTAGGAATCATCCTGACAGTCTTTTTATTCAGAATTGGAGTATAAATTGTGCCCATTTTCTACTCTCACTACCTGACAATTTCGTTCAGAATCAAATTCTATAGCTTTTATTTCAAATGTTGGTTTCCTCGCAATTAAAAACTTACTTTCCTGAGGAAACTTGGATATCCATGATACATCAGCACCAACCAATCGTTGACCACTATCGGGTATTTCACTTGTATCGATTACTAATAAACACCCTGTTCCACCAATAAAACTAAGTGATACTTCTTTATCCCACGATGTACTCACAAATGTACCATACTTGAAGTGCTGATCACTTTTATCTCTACCATGATTGTTAAATATGGATTGATCCATTTTGATATCTCTTAAACCATGATATACTGTTGGAGGACGATTTTCGCTTTCATCATGTTTATCTAACAGCCGAATAGCTGAGTCCAATATCGCACCAAATATCGGCCATTTTTGGTGATGCCAATTATCGTCTGGTAGGAATGGATTTTGTTGACAGTAAAGTATCTCATCCCAACGTAGATCAGCGTAAACCATTGTATCTGTGTACAATATAATTGCAAGCATTTGATCATGGTTAAGAGGTGAGCCCATCCTCAAATGTCTTGGATGTTTCAATTTCTCATGTGCAACATCATTCAAAGATGCATACTGTCCGCCTTTGGGGAGCATTACATGACCGAAACCATTTTTGTTCAATTCAGAGATAAGATCACCTTCGTTGCCCAGATTTGTGCTTACCCGACATTCTACTCTATGAACATAATGCCATTTTTGATAAGCGGATATAAATTTTTTCAAACCCATATTTTCTTCCACAGTAAGGTCACCGCGTTTTCTTGTATGAAAATACACTGTACAATGCCCAATATCTTGTTGTTGATACCCATTCTCATTTAGACGAGTAAATGCATCACACTGCTCGCCATACTCACAGTGAATTTTTTCATGCCGATTTTCGTCCATATGGAGAAGAGCTGCTGTTGTATGATAACCATTTTTAATTTCCAAATAAAACTTACAGGCTGTATTTTCGAGACAAATGCGAAACGAGGTTGGAGTCGTCATAGCTGCTCTTTGGCTCAGTGCTAATTACTTTTTTGCTTAGTAAAGTAGTTGAAATCACTTTTTTTGTTAAATCAAATTTAAAACAACATAAGTTTAAACTCACATTTTATTCTCGATAAAAATTAAATCCCATGTCGCCACTTTTTTAACGACTGCGACGCAGTTAGACGTAACTACGAAAAAAATATCGCAGGCCTGTGCGCGCGGTTACGGTAAAAAATTCGCAGTTTCGCATAGCTGCGTCGCAATTTTCCGCAATTACGGGTCACGGTGCGATCGCAGTTATGCGTAACTGCGTCGCAATTTGATTGCAGTCAAACATATGGGATGGTATAATGGAACGAATGAACGTTAAATTTATAAGGATGAAAAAATTTTCAGTTTTTGTCAAATGTAATGCAGAAGACATTGTTTACAATTAATCGAACCCAAATAAAATTATATATATCTCGTGTTATCTAACGGGTGACTCATAATAAATGGCTACACTTTGCATTTTATTTTTCCATCATGTGATACGCTTAATTGAAAAACAAAATATATCACAGGATGCAACGTGAAAAGCTCTACAATTTACATAAGATCGCTTTTTTATAGTTACTCTTTTTGTTTTTAAAATGAGCAAAATTTTGAGCGCCCAAATTTCGACCGTGGGAAAAATGGTCAAAAAGAATTTTGCTTTTTTTCAAAACAAGAAGAAACATTATAAAATTAGTGGTCTTATGTAAAATGTAGAGGTTTCAAGCTGCATCTTATGGTATATTTTGTTTTTATACGAAGACACATTGGGTGATAGAAAGATGAGATAAGGAAAAAAGAATTTCTCTTTCATGTAGAAAAAAATGAGTTTTTCGCAACGACGAAAATTGGTCGCACAGAATTTCGCTTGTTTTGAAAACAAAAGGCGCATGTATGAAATAAGCTGTTCTTTGTAAATTGTAGAGCTTTTCACGCTGCATCTTGTGGCATATTTTGTTGTTTTTACGAAGGCATATTAGGTGATGAAAAGATGAAATAAGAGAAAAAAAAATTTGAATTAAAAAAGAATGATTTTTTCGTAACGGCCAAAATTGGTGGCAGAGAATTTTGCTTTTTTGAAATCAAATAGTGTACAATTAAAATAAGCTTTATTTCGTAGATTGTAGAGCTTTTCAAGTTGTATCTTGTGGTATATTTTACTTCTTTTTATAAAACATAAAGGATGTTTCATAAGTTTCGCCCCCTCTCCCTTTTTGTTTTTGTCATAACTTTCTCGTATTCCATCGTAGACTGATTTTGAAGATAGATTTTGGAAGAGCAGTATCTAAGCTTTCAAACAAAAAAAAATATATTCCATTACCATGAATTGCACAGTAGAACGAGGTCAAACAAAATTTTGAAAAATTTTCAGGACATGCATTTTTTACTTCTTGCCTATGAAGATTGTAAAAGATCAACAGCCATGCATTTACATACTCACTAGGTTCTATGGATAAAATAGTTTCAGCCCAAAAGCGATTGACCAGTTGCTTCGTTAGAAAATACAAAAATTAGTTTTATCATTACAATGGGCCTCATCTTGGCTGAGCTTTATTTTCTGTTTATCATTGTTAGTGAATGTTTCAAGCTAATGTTAGCTTGTTGCTGAGAGCAAAACAACCTAAAGTCGATCGTGATGTGATCGCGAACTAATACATAGCTATTGTGCTACTGATCTCTTCCACTTTCAAGAGAACCTTGCTATGACTTACGAGAAAATATCTACGACTGAAACCTTCACATTGAGACCATATGATCACTAAGTGGGGCTCAGTAGAGCTTTGAACTCAAATTATTATCGATTTATTGAATTTTTGATCTGTCCGAAAGTTATTCCAAAATAATTATTTGAAGAAATTTCAACTCGATAACTTACTCATTACTCGATTTTGTGCTTCTAGAAATACCGTTAAAAATTCAGTAAAACAGATCTTGTTTTCTTCTGAAAATACGAAATATACAAAACATACCTTTATTTAGCAACAGTTTCAAGATTTTTTTTTAAATTTATTATTCTGACAAACAAGGTTCGTTTTCACTGAACCACTTAAAGTATTTTAAAAACCTGAATTTTTATCTATTGATAAAATTTCAAATGGATCATTTTTTTAATATGACTGTTTTCGAAGTACCTTATAACAGGTTCGAAAACTTATCAAGCATTACAGACTGAAAGACGAAGGCTTCTAAATAACCTATCGAGTTTTGTTCATAGCCTTAATACGGATTCAAACGACATATTTTATTTGACAAAGTTCTTTCGTTAGAGATATTTTTTGCAGGACATATGAATGTACTGAAACGACATTGCTTTTTTGTCAATGTTTTGTATTTTTCAGATCAAATATGGGAAAAAATTCTATTGTATTTTTGATGTTGCATTTGATTACAGTATATACCGCATTCAGTGCATCGCCGATCGTTCGACTTAGTGCAAAATCCGCCAGTGAATCTACTCCAATGTGGCAAACGGCACAAGTATTAAACGTATCAGCACCTGGTAAGATCGTATTCTACAATGATCAAATATTCTAAGTCTTTCTCTTTTATTTCAGCTAATTGGGTTGATTACATGGGTGTAACAACAACAGACGGCTCAGTTGGACAAGCTCAAGTTGAAATATCTACACTTGCTACAGTAATGACAAGCTTGCTCATTCCAGAAAAATTTCGTGATCGAGCAGTTGAAAGTGTTAAAATATTAATAGTAGCTGCAATCGAAGGGTCGTACATAGCTCAAGCATTTACGTTTAACAGCCAATCAGACGCTTTATTGACAACATTATTGATTGTTGCAAAAAAAATAGATTCACCAACTAATCCAAAATTACCAGTAACGGCTACGTAAGTTACGATTAATACAAAAGCAGAAATCAAAAAACTATATACAGTATATGATACAGATAGATGCTTTCGATGTACCGACTGCTTATGGGTTACGGAATGTTGTTGTAAAAGGGATAATCCGAATTATGTTGAACGCGGAAATACACCGAAAGAATTGAATATTATCAAGCAAAAAATGACAGCTGATCAATTCATTTGGTTCAATGAACGGAATTTGAGTAGCCTAGTGAAACGTTCTTTGTCATCAAATGATAATGATAACAATTGAGAAAATATTTTAACTGAACAATAATATAGTTAAGAGAACCTTTACAGTTCAACATATTCTTTTAAAAATAGAAATTCTCGAACTTATTGGAAATTGTACAGTCATCATCGTCTATATAAGACATCACTTGAGACTTTAATTTTCATTTTGCTTTATAATGATTTTCAAAAACATGAGTGTGGGTTTGGGGTGTAGATTTCTGTGACTGTAGTGCTGTGTGAAGACAAATTCTGTACTCATACTCTCTCACACGCATAGCCATACTCGTTGTGAATTAGAAGATATTTTATCGAATATTTAGCATGCAGCTCAAAAGTTGAGAAACAAATCATGAGTTTCTTCTGGTGAAGTGGGGGCCGTACTTCAATTCAAGTAAAGATGAAAAGTATTTGATCTTGAACACAGCTCTGGATTAATTGATAGTTGCGAACCCATTATCTTGTGGGTACAGGAGTAGATGGGGGCGAGCATGGATATACGAATCGGTGACAGTAATAGTGTCAGTGTAAGCAAATGAGAATAAGTTGTGCAGGTGTTCATGTGAAGTGGATGCGGATGAAAATCATTGGTTAGGCAGATATTTGTGGATGTTAGTAGGACAAGAGAAGTTGTGCACCTGCATTCACACACCCTCATATCCCTACAGATATGTAAAAGACACTTCGCACTATAAATCAGCATTGCTCTTTCATACTCTACATAGTTGTATTTTACAATTTTTCTTTCGTAAAAACTGCACCAAGGCCAACGTATTATTATTAACATTTTCTGCTGCAACGTGACGTCACTCGAGTATTGATTTTGCGTTGCTATATAAAAGCTGGAAGAACACTAACCGCTGACACTGAATGAGGTGTACCATTCTCACTTGTCTCATCAATTCTTTTGTACAAGAAAAAAAAGAGCTTCTTCAGTACATCCTGTGTAACCACATCAATTTTCGACGAAAAAGAGAGCAAGAAAAATAGATGCGCCGATCAAATTTTCCATACATTATACAAACACTTTTGTTGCTTCTCGAAAGACAAAAATCAGATAAGAAAAAGGAAATAATATTCATTCCTCCTTCCCCATTTCTAATTTTCAGGTATGCCTAGCATGGCTGTGACTGTTGATCTTCTCTTCATGCGCACTCACAGCAACCCTCGATTATTTTTCAATAGCAAATTATATAGTATGAATATTTGTACTGCCAAAACATATAGGAGTGTACATATGGTTGATGCTGTGATGCTTGTCTATACAGGCACCCATCCCATACCCTTCTATCTTATAGATACAATTTATTTGAAATTGACAGCTAATACTAGGTATGAATAATATGACACAGGTGTGAGTCTTGTTGAGATCTCAATCAAAGTTGAATAATTCAGCCTATATAAATGATCAATGCAATTCAATTCTGTGTAACTCATAGACTGTTAAACTTTTTAATCAATCGAGCTCAAATTAATGCATCGATTTCGAAAACATATTGCTAATTCCATTCATTCAGTATACGAATTAAATTGAAATGTCCAAGTATCATTGAGCTCAATTTGAATATTACAATCAACAGACTTTCTGTATTGTGTTGTGCTGTATAAACTTATCTTATCATTCTGTCATATTGAGCTTTTCTTTCAATTTTAATTCTTTCTCGTCATAACTATTTGTACGAATGCGTATTCCAATATGGTTACCTACTACGTAGTTGCATCATTCAGTTTCTTTACCGATAATTATGGTGACAATAGTTGATAACAGAAATAAAGTTGCATATGTAGGACTCGTTCTTAACAAAATACAAAATAACTATTTATAGGGAAAATGAAACAAGAAGCACTATGCAAATCAGATTCATTCAGTCTTCTGATAATTCTTGAAAATTGTTATCCTATTGATCATCAATATATAGAATACCGCACGCTTTTTAAACTTTTATCTTTCGAAAATGCTTGAGACTTACTAATTAAGTAGCATTTTAAAAAATTAGACGTCTTCCATAAATTGATGCTTGGTTATGTCATCTATACTATACCAAAAACTGCTCCTGAATACATTTTCGCATTTCGTATTTATTTGACAATGTAGAAAGTTTTCAAAACGATTTTGAAATCGGAAAGAAAATGAAAAAAACCTCAATTGAAAAAGTTCTGAACATCAGTATATGTGTTGAAGATATATTAAAAATTCAAATTTTATTTCCCTTTGAAAGAAAAGTATGAAGAGTCATCTAACAGAAATGTTGTAAATCACAATTGTTCTCTTCCTCTCTCATTGATGATTCATAGTTTCATATTGAACAACTCGAAATAGAAAAAAAATGAAAAATAATACAAATAGCATTTATTGCTTCGTGAATCAAATCAATGTTAATGAAAAAATTGACGATCATGCGCTAATGAACTTTTATTAAAAAACAATAAGTTGAATAATCTTTCAAGAGTCTAAATAAAAGTAATGAAAAGACTTGGAACTAATCTTCATCATGGACATAGTCTCGTATTGCTTTTCTCATGAAAAAAAAGCATGAAATCAAAGAAAATATGCATTATTAAAAAAGAATGGTAAGTGATAACATCGATAAATTCTTTAATTGAAAAATAAGTACATATTTTATTCATCTATATTTTCTAACAGCGAATGTTTTTTTTACTCCGTCGGAGAAAAAGAAAGAATATATTAACACCTATAATTTTCATTAACAAAAACCTATATTGCAAAAAGTAGATTGATTCAAACAAACTCTATTCAATTAAAAATAGAAATCAAACAATAATTAGATCTCGAATATAAATATATTAGCTGCCTTCATTTAGATCTGAAAAAAAAACAAAAGATAGGACCAAACTTTTTCGATTTTACATCTTATTCTATGAATAGATATTTAACGTTTTGGTCGCAATGAAAACAGTTAAAGAAGAAAAAAGAAAATGAAAAAAACAGAAAGAAATAAAATAAAATAATGTTTAGCTGACTGTGAGAAGAAACAAATAATGCTCCGTTACATTCATCTGTCATGTCGACGACTTCGTTTAGACCAGCCGTTGTCAATATCTTTCATTTTCTATTTTGTACAAGTGCCGACAAGAAAATTTCTTATCTATATCATATTTTGTTTCATGAGAGTACTTTGGTTTGTACCAGCTTGTTAATAATAAATAATAGATTTCAATGTATGAAAAAAAAAGCATGAGAAGTATTTCTGATGATCGTTGACAGCAAAATGTACTTAATGAGATGAATATCTAGATAGAAATCAGACATGACTCAACTATTTTTTCACAGTGAGCTAACTCCGACATGGTCAATCTTGCTGATTTTCTGCAATTCCTTCCTGAAAACAAAATGAATACTTCTAGCAAATTTTACAAAAAATGACTAAAAGCGCTTTAGTAGATCTATTAGCAGAAGAATGTGTAAAATCGAAAAAGTTTGATCTTTTCTTTTTAAGACCTAAACGTAGACAATTCAGATATTCATATTTGAAATACTTATTAAGATCTCTACAGAATACATTGCCTTTCAATTTGGTCTGTGTGTGCATACTCAAATATATTCTCTTTGTAGATCTCCCTTGAGAGATGATTTTTTTTCATTCTTTTGCTCTTTCATTTTCACCGCTATCATACCTTCACATAATGATAATGACGAGACAAGACGACAAAGAAAATATATACATATATAATATTTGTATGCATGCTTGAATATTTTCTCAATTAACACTACTGTCATAGTATATTCTCAGGTGATTAGAATTTTCCTTTTTGTTTTTTTTAGTATATCCATCATCATCCAATTTTAACATCTTGTGTGACAACTTCATTATATTATTATACTGAGACCAACGCACACACACACCAAATGTCATCAACAAAAAAAAAATATACTTGAGTTTTATAACGAACAAAATACAAAGTCATTAGACGCAAATGAAGCATAGTTGGCCTAATACACAAAATTGATGATGTGTCAAAAAAAAAATATTCTTTTTTCACCAATAAATCTGTTGCTGTTGTCCATGAAAATCGTTAAAATATGTTAATTTTTGAACAAGATCAAAATCAGTAGAATAAAGTAGATGTTTCAATGTACAATTTGTTTCTGATGGTGATGATGTTGATGATGTTGTATAACTTGTATTTGTATTTGTATCATTTGCAAGAAGATTATCAATAAAAAATGAACTTTTTATTTGTTGTGATTTAATCGGAGATGATGATGGTGTACTGACAAGAGTTGTTTTTATCGATTTTTTCATATTTACTGTTTTTTCTACATTAGATTTATTTAATAATTTAAAACGTTTTCGTCGGCGTAGATAACTTCCATTTTCAAACATGTCACCACATCTAAATAAAATCTCATTTTCATTAATTTATTCGAAATGAAATTGAGATCAAATGTTTCGTTCAAATGCTGATATTCGCTTGTTTATATACATACATACGTATATACAAGATCAAGCCTCTTTAATTGTAGCAATTATCAATAAGCTATATATCACATCGGAAAAGATCAAACAATATTGTATTAATATATAAGTGAAAACAGGTGAAAAAAAGAGATGCTATTCATCAAGTGTTTGACAAGATGTAGTTTTTTTTTCTTTTCAATTCAATGACGGCTTCTGTTATATTGAATTGTTTCAAAAAAAAACATGTCAGATTTAATTGTGTGAACATGCTTACTGTTTTTAATGATGTTTTTAAAATGATCACTTATGTTTTTTCTAACACGTAGACAAACAG